GCTGATTCTCGCGAATTTTACGAATGAAATCGAGTTTCACTGCAAAATATATTGAATTCTGTTGAAACAAACTTGCAAAGAGAGTTTCACATTTTACAGGGTTTTATTTTATTCACTTGAATTATTAATTATTACCTTTTCATAAAATATTTTTATATAACATATGATCATTTACTTTATCATTAATGAAAGAAAAATACATTTTGGTATTTTTTTCGGTGTTGAATTTTGTGGCATACTTTTACACATTTTGTCTACTCCGAAAATACGGTTGCATTTCTTTAGGCTAACTGTGTAAATGGGGCTTCAGTCGTAATGTTGCCAGTATTGACTTTTTATCAAACATTCTAAAATATTTGTAATACGATAATGAGACTAACGGCTGTTTAATTTAACTCATCAAACTGTGACAAGGCCCGATCGAAATCAATAGAAATGCAATTTAGTTAATTGGAGGCATGTGAGTTCGCCAAGTGGCATATGTACACACAATATTGAAATAAGTGCGCAATCAGCCAAAAAGCCATAAATGTGCAATTAAGTAAATTATCCCACTGCTGACCGCAACTTGTCAATTTGACGAACGGAAACAAGCAGCCATAAGTGCAGATAAAACAATTACACAAACTACATTKGAAGAGCGAATGCTCACTTTCAACGGTTAATGGAGCTGAATATTCATAGACTTTTATTTTAATAAAGTCATTTCAATATAGTTTATTACTATAATTAAATTATTCGACAATAAATGCTTGAATACAAATAAATTAATACCTGCATTACAATTTACTTTACTTGCCCTGAACCCATTCAAAATAGGATGTCGGGGTATAATAATTTCGTTATTCTGTAACAGACAGAAGAAATCATGATTGGAACATATCAGGGCGGCTAGCTGACTCGATATAGTTATATCTGTTTATTCATGCTTTAATTTTAGAAACTAAAGTTAAGGTTTGCAATTTTATTTTAGTGTTCCTTACAGCTCTCGTAGTCCTTATTTATTTTAAATAATTTATTGCAAATCTTACCGAATATAAAAATAATCAGAAACTATAATTAATTCAAGTTTAGAGTTATTTCGTGTTTCTTGTTGTTTCACAAAGAAATTGATAATTTTATTCAAGTTTAAATATTTGTTTATTGTCATTAAAAGCAATATAAATTTATCCACTTTTTTAAAATGTAATTTCCTTCCTGGAAGTAAATCATAACCTCGTATGAGGGTCAAGTATATTTGCCTGTAAAAGAACTTTTCGATATTTTAAAAAATCTCTTTGATTATGTTTTAAATTAGAATTTGGTTAGAGGAATAAATATTTGTAATAAATGTATATATTTATTTGTTAAGGCTAATGCCTGTCTGCGTTGATGGATCCTTTGCACTTCAGTCGGAGTAACTTCTAGAAAATGTATGCATATTGTATGTATGTTTTAAGGTCTTCTTTAAAAATTGCTTAATTTCCTTTCCCGTTTATGTTGATATCTTATGTACATACTTATATACAGATTCACTAAGCGCAATTTACTCTTCCAAAGTATCACTGACGCAGAGTATAAATCTATATATGTATGTATGTAGGAGACTGTAAAATTACTTAGTTACCGTACTCGGTATCCGTTGCTCCTCGGCACGCGAAGGCACTTTACGTTGCATAAATAATTCAATAGACCGAAATGCCGCGACGCGACATAAAACATAAGAAAAAACCTTCGCTGTCAGTGTCAGTTATTATATGATGCCCATGACAGCCAGTGTTTTTGCCGTTGTTGTTGTTGTTGTTGCTGTTGCTGTTGTTACTGCTGCTGTTGTTGCTGTTGTTGTTGTTCTCGCCGACCTCAGTTGACCCAATTTAAAATGTGATGAACCTTTGTGTGCGTGTGGTTAAGTGTACTCTGTACCCAGCGAACCACGGGGTATGCTCCCTTTCTGCAGCAGTGTTGTGTAACAAGTTTGTGCATGTACCCACATAACTTTACCAAATTCATGAGCTGAACAATGAACATGAGGCAAGCCAGGCATAATCCAAATCAATGTGTTAACATTGTTATCTGCAGCTGAAACCTGTCTGCACGTTAGATCTTGTCTAGCAATAATTAACTTGATTTGATATGGAAATTTGAATAATTTGTGCTTTAATGGAAAGGTCTGTCGAGCTAAGAGCAAAGTTTCCCAAAGTGGAAGTGCTAATCATGGTGGTGTCTGCCTTGACCACTTTTACTACTGTTACCAACTTGCGGCTAGCTCTACTTCCGGTTTTCGATTACAAAGGTCTTTGAATATAAGAAATTCATGGGATTTGGCACGTAACCGTTGCGTTGCGATGTTGGGCGTTGTTATCGTTGTTGCTTTTGTTTTTGTTGTTGTAGCTTTCGCTGTTGCTGCTTGTTGCTGTTGCCCTGCTGTGGGTTAAGTTGCTTTTCTTGTTTCTCGGGAGAGTCCTTGCGTTCAAAATGAACTGGCTATGGGCCCGGTTGTAAGAATATCGAGCATGTCTTTCTTTTTTTCATAGTTCAGGGTGTGTGCCGGCAGGGAACGTAGCCTCTGGCCATAAATTCTTAAAAGGATTTGTTGCTTTATGCTGTGTGCCCTCAGCTCATTTGCTTGCGTTAGAAAACAAAATAAAGCTGAAACTTTTGCGGCCGATAGACATATAAGCCAATAACAGGCGCAACAACAGCAACAACAACAACAGAAGCAACACACTGCATGACATGGCAATTAATTAGGTGTATTTCTCAAATTATCGCCTTGGGCAGGGCAGCGATAAGGCCGAACCGCGTAAACGACCTTGCATGTCAGCGTCAACTTTAGATATCTTATAGAATAGTTTAAGGTAGAGTTTAAAGCATTATCTAACTTTCATAACTCGGCTGCTACCAATATTGCTCGACGGTTAACCGGGAGCCGCATTTCCGCTTTATTTGCATTGCTTGCCAAGTTTGTTGTGTTTTGAACTTGAGCTTCCTGCCACGGCTGCTGCTGCTCGTGCTGCCGTTGCTGCTGATGTTCTCTCGCTGCCGGTTGTTGCTTTTCCTGTGAAAAGAGCGCTGCATAAGGAATTTGATTAAGACAACAAGTACGGCAACTGTAATACCAAAAGCAGCAGCATCAGCATCACCAGCACCAACAATAATAACAGCAACAACAACAACAACAACAAGAATAGCCCCGTTGATGATGTTACTGCAGCAGCTGTTGCTGCCGCCATCGCTGCCATTTCTATTGCTGCTGCCAAGCTCGTCAACGCAATGCTGTCGAAGGCTTATGCGGATATTGTGCATTTGCTTTGAGTTTAGCCCGGCATTTGTTTTCGCTCTTAGTTAAACTAGCTTATTGTTGATGTTGATGCTGTCTGCCAGCAACTGGCTTTTCATGTTATTGTAGATATGGCTGTTGCTGCTGCTGCTGCTGAGCTTCATCCCTGCGCTGTCCAGAGGCGCTGGGGATTGTTTTCTCCTTGTACGTGATGAAGTCTTAAGCATATACCGCACAATGTGCCCTGCATGCACGCTAGCTCTAGGTTTTCAGATGCTGTGCATTTTAATCCCGATTAAGCATTCGCACATCAGAGCAGAGAATATCTTGGAAATAACCAAAATTGCAAAATCATCGAAACCGAAAGAACCATTTGTTTCTTGTCACCCACAATTGCATTGTATTTCCAGAACACTCTACTCTTTCTTATATATACTTAAATTTGTAAATATTTTAAGCAGACCTGCTCTTACCCCGTCGAGCAACAGCGGAAGCAGCTCTAAACTAAGGCATTAACACATTTCCATTTCCATATGATGCCCTTGCTATATCGCGCAGGCTCTCGATAGCGGAGGCTCTGTCGCTGACACCGTCGAGCAGCTGTTTCCAGGCACTTTTGCTGCGGTTGCCGCGCCAGGAATATAATATTTCAATATTATTTTTGGCGCACTTGCTTTGCAATTGGAACTCGCTTTTGTCGTCGTCGCCTGATAATTGATATAATTGTTCAAATGAGGCGAGCACAAGCTCATTGTTTCCACTCCAACTACAGTTGTCGAAAGTTATAATAAGCCCCTCGCAGCTGTGAGTGCCAGCGTGCCATTAAAGTCCAATGACACCGAGGCTTTAAACTAACACAGCTGTCAATTGGTTTGCCGGCACATTGGGTGCATAAAACTTTACGGTCTCCACATAATTTTCTCGAACGTAGCTGCACGCACTGTGCGTGTGCTTAAAGTGTGTGTGTGTGTGTGTCTGTCTGTGTGTGTGCAGGTAATTTCGCAGTCATTTTGCATTTGTAATAAAGCAACACGTCGTCACAGACATCGGCGCCCGCACGCACGGCTGAGGTAATTACGAGGCCGCAGCCGTCGAAATCTCACCGAGCACACTTGAACTCATTTATATGCCGCGCAGGCTTCTTATCAAATATGAAACAAAGTCGTAAAGGATAATTGGACTTACAATGTGTGAGTGGGACTCGCGGCGCTCGTATACGCATAATGCAAACTTATCCACCAAATCCGCTCAACTCCATTAAAACACGTCGCCAACTTGAGCCGTAACAGATTAAAGCTTTACCATTTATTCAGTTAATTTCGCATATTTCCACGGAACTGAATGGACCTGAGGCGAATGATTTTAATTAAAAAACAACTTTGGGCTGTCAGCATCACATACCAGCATCATATTTCATAAGCCATTATTCAATTATCGATATTTGCCTTACATTCATCTCCCCTAGTCAGCAGCTTGACCTATTGCAAATAGGTTTGCTGAAATATATATTGTACTTAAATTCGTTTTAATGCGTGACTGGCATATGGAAAACCCTCCCTTGCTTGGCTTTTCATGTTTTCACACATCAATCATAAAATGCAAATATTTATGTTACGAGTTTATCTGTGGGCAAATGGCTTTTGCCTTGTGGCGCATTTAACTCAGCCCGACGAGTGATACCCACTTCTGCAATCTTTTAACCATTCCAACTTCTGCTTAATTCCCATTTTTTCTTTTTCAGAAACTCAAACCGAAAGTTCCGGCGCCATATTAACGAGAATGCGCTCGGCATAATTCGCAGTACTCTGAACAGCGGCGGCTTCGGCCCTCAGGCACCCAACTTGAACAAGGAACTGGGCATCCCGTCAAACGCCGGACCTATGAACCAGCTGGCAGCCGGCTATCAGCGTCCGCTGTCTCATCCTGGCGGGGGCAGCGCCGTGGCCGCCGCAGCGGCAGCTGTGACTGCCGCTCAGATGGAGAAGGGCATGTTCAGCATTAGTCAGCTCAACCTGGAAATAACGGAGCAGCACGTGGGCACCAATGGCCGCATGGAGATCACATGTCTGTCCACAATACCGGCGACGGTTGGCCAGGGCGAGCAGTACGCCGACTACAAAACGTATTCGGTGAAAGGTGAGTGTGGCCTTCGCTGGAAGGCGTGATGTGCATATAAGCACGGCTATTGAGATGTGTACCCACCCAAATTAGTGTGTTACACCTAAGCATGTTTGCCTGTATTTATTGTGCGCTACGTGTAATGCTGTGCAAGAATAATATTTGCTTTGGGACTCGCTCCATGAAATTGCGAGCAATGAGCTCATCAAAAATATGGCTCGTTTGCATACGGGCGCCCGGCATGAATGTGAGTTATGCAATGTCGGTCGGAAGGAATCTCGGCCGCATTTACACAAAATAATTTAGCTCCATATGGCTGCTGGGTTAGACAGCAGCCCAGTTAAATGTGTGCCCATTGTTATTGCTGTGCCTGACTGCCTGTCTGCCTGTCTTCCTGACTGCCTGCGTCATGATGACTCTCACTGAAAGACACAACAATAACATCGCTGGGCCAAGACAGCAAAAGTCAATGTGGCAGCGTTTTTGGCATTTTAAAATGCGTCCCTAATTTATATTTCTGCCGTTGACTTTACAGTCGGGCACCCCTGGAAGCACCGCCCACCCATCGCGCAATGTGTGGGCGTGTGTCATCTATTCTGTTTGCCTACGTTTATTTTTCGCTTAATGCCGCCCAGCCCATATTACCGCAAGGCGGGCAAACAAAAGTTAATTTATATATTTGCTCGGCTTTGTTTGCCTACACGCTGCCTGTTAGCACTTGCACCCACTAAAGCCGTTGACTCAGCCAGTGCTGTAAATTGTCTCAAATTGCATGAAATAATTTACACATTACTAGACCCATGACTCAAGGCGGTCGTTGGCCACTGTCGCTGTCTCTGTCTCTGTCTCTGACTCTGTCTCTGTCGCCGTCGTCGGCGGCTGCTAACGGCCTGTTCGGCTCTTGAGTGTCCCCTAAACCAAGGGGCGTATGCGTGTTATTTATGGTGCGTGAAGTGCGTCGTTTATTTTGGCCACTTCACTGAGAAGAGCGCTTCAATCCCTAATTGTTTTTTATGCCACCTAAGCCACAGCTACTATCATTTTGGCTGCATTGATTTTATTAAATCGTTTTCACAGAAACTATATTAAAATTTTCATATCCACTCTCTTCGAAAGCTTAAAATTTTATTTGCTATAGATCCATGATATTTGTTTATAGCTCTGTCAGCACTATGACTTGATTGAATTCCCAGTCCCAGGAAAAAATCATATTGTGTCACTCAAGTCTTGATGTAAAATTATTTCGAGCACAGGCCAATTCTCTGCTTAAGTTTGATTTTCCCTTATCTTCGTTCTATTTCGTAAAAGCTCTTTCCACATTCATTATTTATGCGCTCACTTGTCAACTTAGTTTTTTCGTTGTCTGTTTTTAGCTACGTTGTCTCACAGACGATGACTCTGAGGGGTCTAATTAATTTTGTTAGGTAGCCCTGACTGCTGCCTGCATCTAAAGTATATTTTCCACCTGATCCGACCATTGTTTTTGACTTTCTAAAGCTTTATTTATAATGTTCGTCTCTCTTTTGACCTTTGCAGTGGAGGTTGAGCGGCACCAGGCGTCCTCCACGTCGACAGCGCCACCTAGCATTGGGATGGCAGCGCTTGGTAACGGTAATGGGCACGGAAACGAGACCTCTGCAGGTTGGAGGGCGCGTGGGGCTGTCCTGACGCATCTGTGGTCGTTGGCGCCCCTGCTGATATTCGCATTGCTGCCACTGAGCTATTAGGCAGACCCAACGGCAAAAGTTGCAACACAAACTGCTGTAGGAGAGCAGACCACCGAAGTAGTAAAGGTACAGTACACCCAAACCGAGGGCACCGATTGCAGCAGCAAAAAAAGAGAAAAGTAAATAAATAAAAATAAATAAAATAGAAAGAGAGAAAAGCACAACAAAAAGTCATACACAAGCTTTTGGCTTGCACACACATATTGTAGACCAAATTTAATTTATTTCAGTGTAATTAAGCTGAAAACAAGCGGAGTGTGTGAAGAGCATTAAGCCAGGCAAACATTTTAGAGCGAGTGCATAAACAATAACATTTTTTGTCTCGTTCTGGCAAGCTAATTAAATGAGATTTTTTTTTGTAAATAATTGCCGGACTGCAATTTTGGTATTCAAAACGAAACAGAAAACAAAAATAACTAAACGAAATATTTGTAATTAAGTTGCAGTCAAATGAGAGCAATGAGAATCTGTTTCACTTTCAGCAGAAGGAAATTTTATAGTGTAGCGTAATTTGTGTAAAGATTACAATTGAACATTCCTTTGCCCCAGGTCCTGCGGATGTCCTGAGAAAAACAGATTAACAAAAAGACAAACAGTTACTTTGCTATTTGAAGGTCAGTCAGTTGCAGTTTTGGGCCTGGCCTAATATTTGTGGTAATTCGCCAGAAAAAGAGAGAAAAAAAATAAATGTATATGAAACAAACAATTAAATTAGTAGTTGACGGCAAACTTGAGCAGTCGACAGACTGCTTGGGTTCAAGTACCTAAAAAATGCTAAAAAAAAAAAGAAAATAAACAAACAAAAAGTTATGCAAAGAAAAGGATATTTTTTATCGTGTTGTAACGCTTTGGCTAATAGCGAGATGGCAAATCTAAGGCTAAGATTCGGTCGAAATTGAATTTGGGCCCTAGCTACCGAACATTAATTAACCCCCACAAAGAAAATTAAATGTTTAAATGTAAAATAATTAGACAGTTAAACCAAGAAGCTTACAAATACAATCAGTGTTGAAAACATTTTGAGAAAAACAAAAACCTTAACAACAACTAAAATTAACAAAAACAATACGAAACAAAAGAAACGTGAAGAAAAGGCGTTGAAATGGTCGCAATCTGCCGCACGTGGCAAATCAAATAAAGGGTCACCCTAAAGGGGTGAACTCGGGCTGACGCGCAATTCGCCTGTGCTGGTGTCGGTACGCCCGGTTCCCTACACTTACACAGCTTATTTATTTCCGTTCATTTAGTCCTTAATTGCGTTTTGTAAATTGTTATTATCGCAATGGATCTGTCTAAATTGTGCGAGTAGTTAGGAAAATATATTTATTTATCTTTTGCAGTTGGTTATTTTTGGTTTAGACGAGGCGAGATATTGCCATGTCTATGTCGGTGTTTATATGTACGTTGAATAGGGTATTTTTTAAAAGCGCTTTAAATGTCTATTGCTAACTGAAAAACTCTAAACGCGTAGCACTCATTGTAACTAAATATATGTATCTATACCAATTAAGTGAGAAGGGAGAACTAAGAAAACCAATAGGTAAAAGCACAGCGCAAAGTAAATATGTGTAAAGCAAGTAGCAACCTAGTATATACACTATAACAATATACACCAACCTATAAATATGCGTCTACATAAGTGTGTAACTATTTAGCAGTTAGGTAAATATTTTTAACTCCACAACAACTAAAGAGAAATGAAAAGTGTATAAAATTTATTACGCCTGCAAACATTTTACTACAGTTCGAAGAAGTAGCAAAAGAAAAAACATATAAATATACATACATATATTAAATGAGAGGCCCCCCAACAAATTTCCGCAATAAATAGAAACATTTTTTAAAACGGTTGTTCAAAGCATTAGTTAATAAAATATGCGGTATACCCTTAGTTTCAGATATAATTGAAAAAAGTAAGAAAAAAAAATACAAAAACAAAACAGAAAAATGCATTAATGTAGTTTATACTTAATGCTTTAAAGGACTACATACAATTTTTATAAAAAAGAAAAATATATTATTACAAAATGGTATAACAAAGTACATATTATATATTAAAAATATGGCTAAAATGTCTTATGCAGGTATTGACGTCTTCCTATGCTACGCTGTCTATTATTAACTGAACAAGTAAAACAATTGAAAAATTTATAAAATATACATTAATTAACTAGATAATAGGTATATTCTAATATATGCATGCATACATATATTCGTATGTTCAATTTGTAACATACAAGGGATGCATTATGAGAATGTGTTAACTTGTCAATGCGACCTAAAGTAACACTTCATCCGAGGGATGGAACAACAATAACAAATATCTTTATCTATAAATGATTTATTTTAAGTGAGAATCTATGGACTTTTACTTATTCAATATGTTGAGCATTGTTTTCTTTTCGTATTTCTTTCCCAACTTATTCTTGCATCTAATTTTATTTAAATATATACACAATATTGATAATTTCTCGTCTCATAATTAAGGGTAAATACATACTTCCCACCAATCTATAAGACACTCTAGCATAATCCGAATCATATCACGCATTCATGTCAACCATATCAAATAAAAATTCTTTAAATGTCTCATTCTTTAATGTCACACATACAAACATATATTCATACCAACACACATACGAATACATTCAAACAAATCTTTCTATCTTTGACTTTCGTGTATTAACGCTTTAACTGTTCAAAAATAAGTCCATGCACAGAACGAAAAGCATCTTAACACCTACATAAATATTGCTTATGTGGACAGATCAAATTCTATATTTATGGGGTATATACATAAGCAAGAATACTCTTTAAAAAGATAAATGTAAAGATTTCTTTTAAAAAGAAAAGAAATAAATGTCACAGCAATTCGCAAAACATATCATAAATGTTGTACAATTTTCTGTGTTAAATGAATGTAAGCAACAAGAACGTGTTATATTTATATATATAATACTCATGTATATACATATATAAATATATATATAAATATACTGCGACCCAACGAACTTTCGGGAACCTATTTAAAGGCATTTTGCACATTTTTCCAGTTTAAGAAATCTTCGATTTACTCAGCGCCCAGCGATGGCTTGATATCAATGAAAAAAGCAAAAATTAATACAAAGTGAATATAATTGAATTAATGGCGAGACAGGTAATACGAGCAACTAACAGAGAATAAACTTTGACAGCCACAAGCCACAACACGAAAAGAGACACAATTAAGACAATTAACAATTCAACATCGATATGACTGGCAGCGGCCATCGCAATTAAAATAATTTAATTCAACTGAAATAGTTCAATGATGCTCAATTGTGAAGCAGCAGTAATTACGTATACTGTACGTTTATTGAAATGGGAAATCATTTTGCATATGCCAGACAAACATACTCTTTCCTTTGCTTGACATTCTTTAATTTAACTCATCAGCCAACATGAACATAAACAAATCTTCATACTTCATATGACTTGTTAAGAGCATATCATCGGGCCAGATAAAACATAACATAAACACTCTATAAGTATTTTTGTAATCGTGACCGTGGGTACCTACATAATTACATTGACATACATACATAAACTACACGATTCTTCCAATTACACATATCATTGCGTATATATCAAATATTTACACAAACTATTTATATAAAGAGAAAATATGAAATTAGCAAAAAACCATTAATGCCGAGTTTGTATTACACAATACTGCAACAAAAAAAGAAAATGAAAAAAAAAAAAACATACATATATAATTTAAATCATTTATTGAATATGAAGATAAATTAAATATATCAATGCATGCTTATACACATGTGAAAAATGTCATGATTTAATATTGATTTATTGTTTCGCAATGAGTTGCCCTTTGTTAAGAATATATTTTAATAAATATTGTACTATAAATCTTAAGATATAAGTAAATAGCATAAAGAGAGCTATTAAAAATAAAAACCACAGCGGCTAAGAAATTCAATTCAATGATGAAGTTGTTGTACCACAGAGTAAACATAAACAATTACGTAAATAAATATGTATTTATAGATACAGGCATACCAAACGACGCATCAGATATACACTTGTAAAAATTGCAACCTATGCAAATCAATTTACAAACATATATAAATATATACATATACAAAAAGGTAACTGTGGAATATGTGTGTATGTACTTAATATTAAAGAGTTAGTACGTAGTAAACACGAGTAAATATGTACAATTTGGTGTCGAGCTGTCAACGTTACTATGACAAATAAACCTTTAAAAAGTAAATTCCAATAGGAAAAGAACACACAAATGGAAAACTCAAATAAAAGTCAGCTCTCAAAATGACGCCTGCTGCTTGGCTTGTCAATTTACTAAATCGAAATTGATATATAACTTATAAAATATGATTAAAATTATTTGTGGTAAAAAAAAAAAATAATGAACTAAACATTATAAAATAAATGTTGAAAACTGAGCCGCGCCCAGCTTGTATTTAGATTGTCTCCCAGAAGCCTGGCTCCACATTATCCCGGCTGTATTTCAATTTGAAATAAAGTTGTGACAACCGCAAAAGCACAATACACAAACAGTTGCGAAAGGTAGAAAGGCAGGAAGGTTGTGAGGTAGGAAGGTAGGTAAGGTACACACATAAATCGGTCAAGGGTCGGGGTGCCAGAATGTGGTGAACAAAACTTGTGTAGCTTTGCGTTTGACGAATATCCTTTTAATCCCTTGAAATGTGCATGGAAATTGAAGGAGCTGCTCAACAATAAAATGCGTAAACAAAAACAAACAACGTGGGGGCGCACCCGGTCAGAGGTCTGGCGAAATTACTAAAGGGATACCAGCAGCAGAGTGCGAGCAAATGTTGTGCAATAATCAACGAAAGGATCAACTACGAAATAAATGGCGAATCAGGGGTATCTTGGCCATAAAACACATCCGACCAGAGCCGGAGCCACGGACAAAGCTAGAGCATTTTCTTTTTACACAGTCTGTCCCTCTCTTTATGTCCTGCTGCGTCTCTCTCTCTCTCTCTCCTCGCTCCATCTCTGTCATTGTGTTTGTCTTTGTCTGCCTACTATCCTTCTTCGTATGCTCCGAGCGCTTCAAAGGTGCACCGAGCTCGTTTGCCTCATTACAGAATCAAAGCCGTGGGTTGTACAAATACACACACACACACACCAGCAGCACGTGTGTGGGTGCGAATGTGTGCTCTGCGAGTGTGTGTGTGTGGTCACAGATGTGCTCTATCGATTGAAAATTTGTGTGACAGACAACTGTGGCAGGCAGATGGCAAGTTTGAATGGGATTGGTCAATTAACGCCTCGCCATCAGCAGATTTCCTGAGGAAGTCATCAAAAGGGATGCCTCGGTGTCTTGATTAAGGTATAAATATTAAATTAGCCAAGGCCGACGTAGTGAGTCCTGCTACTGTTGGTGCTGCTGCTGTTGCTAATGAGCCATGTCTGTAAGTGAAAAAGGTAAACAGGATGTGGTTTATTCAGCGCTGATTTCGACCCCACTATCAGTCGCCCGGATCCAACTCGCAAACTTGTTTAATTATACATGGCAGCGCCTAAAACTCAACTAATTGATATGCAGCAGCGACAGCAGCACAAGAAGCACCAGCAGCACCACAGTCTGGGAGTGTGGCAAAGTTAATGAGCCAAAACTGGCAGCATGTGTGCCAAGTTTCGACAGGCAGTCGAGCGGTCGCTTTGCATACAAACTCTCAATGTGCCCGAGGTCTGATCGAGAGCCAAGCGAATAACTCAATTTTCATAGAGTGGCTGTTGCACATAGCCAACCAATAAACACTTTTTGCAACAAATTCAAAACTATGCCCGCAGCAGCCGCAGCCACAGCCACAGCCGCAGCAGGAGCATGAGCAGGAGCAGGAGCCGGAGTAAAAGCAACGGGGACACAGTGAAACTTTTTGACAGCGACAAAATTGCGTACAACTGCCAGTTGCATTCGGGGCGCTCTACTGGCTACTAGCTACATTCTTTGAGAGCTGCATTTGACAGTGTGGGTTGGCAGGGGAGGTTGGGGGCTGCACAGCCGGAAGCATTTGCCGAATTAACAGCAGCTACAACTTTGCTGCAGCTGAAACGCAAAGAAACTCACTGACACACGGGCAAAACAATAACAGGTACGAAATGTCTCAAGCACATTTCAATTTGTGAGCTCCGCTCGTGTACACATACACACACACACACATACACATAAGCAACCAAGCACACTCGTGCACTCAAAAAGTTTTTGCCCTTATATGGACAAATGCCAAAATATTTAGTTTTACAGCGAAAGTTTCGCACGGAACGCGCACCATTTGAAAATTGAAAAGAAATATTGGGTAGAGAGCGGAAGAAAAAAAAAAAAAGGAAACAAAAACACTAAAACAGAAACTGAAAATGAAAATAAAATTTCGCTTTTTTTGTTGTTGTATTTATTTGTTTTGCAATTGGATTGCGTTGTTTTCGGCGCCGGGTTCTGCTCGGCTCACCGCAGCTGTCAGCTCGAGTGACTGAGGGGCGCGTGACGCTCGCAACGCTGTGCCGTGGATTTTTTGTTTGAATTCCAGCGATTTGTAAGCGGTCACAGGATCCAGCTTATGTTTAGAGGATGCGTGTGCTTTTTGGGGAATTGCATTTGCGCCGACTTTATTTGTGCTTGAACCAATCAAGATGCCTTAAATGATCCCAGCATTCGAGAGCAGCCTAAAAGCATGCTACCTATTTGAAAGCAGTGAAAGTATGGGGCACAGTAGTGAAACGAAGAGTTTACGGATATTGATTTAACATTTACATTTTAATTGCATTTAAACGGTACATATGTGAATGTAGTACGTATTATTGTGTGGGCTATATATGGAATACAGAGTTTATATAAATCTTTGATCTTTTGATTTATAAGCCTTAGAAAAATCAGAATTGATGGTAGTGTTTGATGATCATACGGTATACAAAACTATCAGAGATATGCTCTCGTCAGGCTGATAGCAGAGCGAAGGCTTAGTGCTGATTTAATAATTTAGTTGTGTGCACAGCAGGTTGCTCATTAGCACGCACACTTACACTCAGTCAGGCAGACACACACACACATATTCGAGTACTGGGTTACTTAGGCGTCTCTCACACATACTAGAACTTGGCAGGCAGCTCGAAACTGTGTGGCATAAGGCACGCACACAGCACGAATTTGGATGGGAGCAGCAGAGGCATCGACTCGCTCGGTTGCCTGCCGCATATCACCTTAATTACAGGCAACAGTCTGAGTGCAGTCAGACGGCAAATGGAAGGCAGGCAAACGGCTTTTATGCTTCGTCTGTCATTGCCACACCGCTGCTGCTGTTGATGCTGCTTCTGCTGCTGCTCGGCAGGCCCCGGGTGCGTGCCATATTGTCGTTGTCGTTACGCTTTAGCGATTTAGCACTGTAGTAGCAGAGCAAGAAAACGGATTCAGCTTGCACTTGACTGCTGATAAGCGTGTGATTTCTGCACACACACTCACACACATACACATACACACATACACAGAGCATAGACACACACACCATGACACACCAGATAGATAGACAGCTAAGCCGCACATATACATTGAAACAGCTGCCGTCATGGCCATGAATACATGCCCCGTTGCGTTGCGTTTATGCCAGTTTTATGTTACAACTAAGTGAAATTTAAGGACTCCACTCAACAACGTTCTAAATCCACTGCATAGTTCGTGAACGGTGGATGGTGGATGGTGTCTGGTGGATGGTGGATGGAGGTTGGCTGGCTTGCCAAAAGGGCATTTGGGTGCGGCTTCTCACATGATGAGTTTGCCTGCTGCGGAAGCAGGAAGCCATCATTGCGAGCAAACTGCACACACACATATAAATACACACACACACATACACTCAGTTACCGGGTGTTGGCGAAACGGCGCAAACACCGACCAAATCAGCCAGTGGAACTCATACCTGTAGACAGATGCAACAGGACATTGCCACTTATTCCGACCACAGCTGGCAACGAGAATGGTTTCCGGCCATTGTGCGGCAGCTTCGTTTCGATTCTAATAACTCCAATTACAAATGGCGACTGTCTAAAACCATTGTGCATATATGACCGTTACAACCTGTATGCTCGTCTCTCTCTCTCTCTCTCTCGCTCTGTGGGTGTGTGTATGTGTGTGGGTCTGTTCGGGACGGCGGTTGGCTCAACTTGTTGCAGGACTTTATGACATGCCTGCCGCTTTATCCATGCTATTATTTCAGGGATTAACTGTGAAAGGACAACGCACGACTGCACAGCCAGACACCAACACAAACGCCAACGTCAACGCTGACGCCGACGTCGACGCCAACGCCAACGCCGATGTCGACGTCATAGCCCTTGGCGAGGATTTGCTTGGAAAACAAATCACACATAAAACGAGCTAACCAGCCAAATGACAGTCGGACCGAGCGCATTAGAAGGAGAATATGAGCATGAATGTCCATCAAAGAAATATATTGTAAAATGAAAGTAGGCCCCAGTAAAAGTAATGTTGAGAAGGATTTATATCACCTAGAACATTTTATTCCTGTATTGGTGCTTACAAACTAATGGCGGGTGTAGGTACGGTTGTATGGGCGTGTGTTAGCGTATAGGAATCGTAACCATCGATAAGACGGCGTCACAGTTTATTTGACACGGAAGCGACGCAGTGCGGGGGGCAGGTAATCCAGTGAAGAGACCACATTGCTCGGCAAGTACTCAGAGCTGGGCGAGCGAGCTTCATTGACTGGGGCAGCAGAAGCCTGGGAGGCAAAGTTCAAAACTGGTGCACTTCCTTCATTGGAGATGCGAGAGACGCCGGGCAACTGATTATATTGATTCTGAATAGCCAGCTGGGCGTTGGCAGCATCCTGTGGGGTGCGGTATTTGACGAAGTGGACTTCGGGCTTATTGCTGGAAGTCGACTTGAGTGCGTTGAGCTGTTTGGCCAGATTGGCAACATCCGTCTGCTTGGTCAGCACATAGATGGCCGTCTCCTGCTGGGCTGATTGCTTGGCCAGTTCAAGGGCCGCGCGCTCGAAGCCGCGATTCTCGGGCGCGCGAATAAACACAATGCGCAGATTTTTCTTCAGCGAGTCGGCAATCTGCTGATTATTAATGTTCTCGTTGAACTGGTCCTCGGGCGCAGCATATGTGTAGAATTCTTTTTGGAACTCCTCGATAAGCGGTGCCGGCTGCGGAACGATGCCACTTGGCGCCGGTGCAGCGAGTGGCGCCGCAATGGGCAACGATAGCTCAGCCTCGCCCTGCTGCACGCCAGTTGCCCCTGCGCCTCCGCTGCCGGTCACAAACGATAGCCCCTCATCCGAGTGAGCCACTGGCTGGTAGTTGTAGCCCAGCTTGTCAGCGCCGCAAACGGCAGCCCACAGGAAAATCAGCTGCGGAAGTTGTGAAATGGGTTGGGTGTGATTAGCATGCCCGCTGCACTCAGTAGCATTTCAAGACTTACAATAAATCCACGCATTGTTTGTTGATGTTTCGGCTACCGCACAGCTGAAGCAAAGAGATGAAACTAATGTGGGAATCGGGCAGGCATCTGCTTTTATAGGCGCAGTCGACTGCATTTCGCTACTATGGCTAATCCCCACCCCTCGCCACTCCCATTCAACACGATCGGTTCGTGGCATCGGTGACCTTGGGAGCGCATGCCATATTAATTGGGTATTTATACCATGGCAAAGTCATTAAAAGCCCGCTCGAATTTAAAGACAACTAAGTCAAGACGTCGAATAGGCCTAGTCAACATATCTGGCCATTTATCTCGGCTTCAACGCCGTCGCATTTTGATTTAAATGCATTTTGCGACATACATATGTATATATAAATATGCATGGGCCGCTTTGTCTCATTCTGTTTCGTTCCCCAATCAAAATGTTTTGGTTGCTTCAAGCCGGAAAAAAACCAAAACCCAAAATACGCATCACTGCAAAGTAGCAGAGCTTATTGTGAAATGTAAATAGCTACCGATTTCAGCTGCAGCTAACTTCAACATTGCCCAGCCCCGGGTCAGCACTAAGCTGCTAATTATAATTTTGCCAAAGTTTGCTATTATCTACCCCATTCTGTGGGGAAAGGTCTCAATACGGCTAATAAAGTTTTTTCAGCTAATTAAAACATTTTAGTATTTATGAATGGCAAAAACAATGCGAGCATTGAACACTAAAAATTTTGTCTATAAAAATATATATATACTCCGTCCAAAACAATACGACATTAGAGCATGAGGAATAAGTACAGCTTCAGCTATTACTTGGTTGGAGTAAATATATTAAATTTTAGGGAAAACATTTTCTTATTGATTTTAGGTAAACGGAGGTGTTGATTGATGTGTGGATGAAATAGGTACGGCATTACGGATTTGATGAAGGCTTCTTTTGTCTGTTACAAGAAAGCATACCTTTCATTCTATACTTAGATTTTGCATAATATACAAAAATATTTATATAACATTATTTTTTTTATAAAATATTTATTAAGATGCAATTACATTTTTGCTTTATTTGCCTTTCATATAAGACTTGTTCATTTTTTTTTTTTTTAATTTAATTTATTGCGAGTTGGGTAAGTTTTTCTTTAAAATTCGTTCAAAAATGCAATTGTCATTGGGGATCATTTCGTAATTCCGTAGTTGAGAGTGGCTAGCTGGAAAAAAGAGCAGTTTGCTAGTAATACTCATAATGTGGTAATGGCAAGCCAACATAGACAGAATGAAAATAAAAAGGAAAGGAGCTCGCGTCAGAGGATTGGCAACACGCAAACTTGGCGTCTGCTGCTGAGAGTGAGTTTGGGACGCTGTCGCATCGGTTAGACCTTGGACACACCTGTGTTGATATTGGAGCAGGAATTTCAAGTCATGAGCCGCCAGCCAAGATTAAAGCACCCATGTACTTGCAGCGCTTCCCAGAGTGCGGGAAAGACCTGGCAGCTTTGACGTGACTGGCAAACTTTTTGGCAGGCGCCGCTAACGAGCTACGTTCTGCTACGTACCGGTTCTCATGTTGCTCGAAAATTCTGAAACTAAAACTTGCTCAACAGATTTGTAGTGCCAGGATGCCTTTTTTGCGTCTGCACTTCACTGTGCCACATGGCGAAGTGGAAGTATGACAGTGTGCCTGTGTGCCTGTGTGTGTGTTTGACCTCTGCACTAAAACAATTTGCAAGGCAACATGATGTCAGCCCTAGAGCCGGTGTCAGTGCCGGCACTGCCATAATTTAGTTGAAACATTCTTAAAGCAACGCCTGTCGTTAATCTTAACGGATGGATGGCAACGCAACTTGTGGGACAGAAGCGTAGGGCCGACCCAGCCTCGCGCATAGCTCATTAAAAAGTTTTCCAGCGACAACCTCAACAGCAGCAGCAGCAGCGCCGGCGACACATTGCTTAAGAAAATGTTTGCATGGACACAGGTCGTTCATGATTATCTAAGAGATATCTTAAAGATAATCCGTAGCTGTGCGCATCGCGCAGCAAGAGCTCAAAAGTGAAATGTTTCGACTTGTCAACCAAGTCATTAATTATTCATAATACCATAGCTGCGGTGAGAGACCTCAGCCTGAGTTGCCCTCTCGATTTCTAAATATGAATTTTGTGTATACCCTAACAGACGGTGCCACAGATGACAAATTTGGCAAATATATATGTTTATATACAAATATTTATAAATTGTATATTTAAACAAATATTAAATTTAAATCTGTAAAAATGAATTTGCTTTGTATGCTTTAATGTTATATTATTCAGTTTTTAAGTACAAAGAGCATTAAATCTTCGCCGGTTACAACTTTGATATAATTTCTTGCTTTGATCAAAATCAAAATGTAAATTATTGGTGTGAAAATAAAAAAAAAATCAAAAAAAAAAAAACCAAAGTTGTGGCTATGATGAGATTCTTGGCTGGCTGGCTGGCTGCCTGGCTAATCGCGCTTTTCCCAATCGAGTAGAAATATTCACATTGAGACTGAGCAGCCATAATTTTAATTTGCATAAAGACAATAATTATTATTAAAACTTGTAATAGAAATGATGAAATAAACTTATTATGATTCGGTAAAAGCAAATATTTGATTAGCCAACTTTTACACAATATTCAAATTTGCCAAAGCAATTTCATTCATAATTAAAACTCGAAATGATGTTAGCTAATATAGGAATATTGTAGGTGCTTTGCATTGTATTTATCTAAATACACTGTCACAAATATGTTTGTTTCTTTTAATATATTATTTATTTATTTAGGTATTTCTAATGGCGAAGTATTTAAATTTAGCAGTCTTTGGCACTAGTCCAGTTACAGTTAGTCTAACGCCGCCGCGCTGGGGGCAAATATTGCCGAAACAGCGCCTGCAGCTTGGCGGCTTCCACTTCGCTCGCCTGCTCATGAGTCTCGTACTCTGCGCTGTTCCTGGGCAAGATCTTGAACACCACTGGATCTGGCTGCGCTGGGTGCGGCGGTGGGTTGAGGCGAATGACACTCGCCGTTTCCACGGCATGGTTGTAGCTTCTGCCCGGCAACTGCTCGTATTTACTTCTTAGGCTGTTTATGGCCCGACTTACATCGGTGGGCGTTCGATACTTGACAAAGTGAACGCTGGGCTTGAGGCCCAGCTGTTGCTCAATGGCTGCCTTCTCCTGCTCCAAAGCGGTGGCATCCATCTGCCGCTGCAGCACATAAATATCCAAAGCATTGTTTGCCGCCAGCTGCTTGGCTGTCAGAGTAAAGAGATTCGACTCTGGATTGCGTATGAAGATCACCTGCTGCGGAGGCGTAAACGCCTTGGCCAGCTGGCGAGCTGCTTGCAGAGACAAGCTCTGGTCGTCCTCCGGGGGCGCACTGTAGCTGAAGTATTCCGTGGCGAGAGGCCGACGCGTTGCATACTCATTGTTCGCTGGCAGGTAGGCGTTGTTCAGTGCGAGCGCCTGGCCGGTGCAGAGGAATATCATAAAGCTCTGTCACATGAAAGAGGAGGAAATTGCGTAAGATGAAAGTTCCAATTATTGCTTCGATCGATCCTCTTACCGTCAGGCGGCGCATCTTTGCTGGAGCTTAGGACTTTCTACGTTGGCCAGCAGCGGCTGGTTTTTAGCGCTCGAAGCTCAGTGTGATTATAACCAAGTCACACCAACAAAACCATCCTTATATACGACACAAACAACAAACCTCATTTATCGGCTGCGTTGGCTTTGTTTGCCATTTTTTTCCTCTGTTTTTCAGTGGCTTTTTTGTGTTTATTGGTTTTTAAAAGATTTTTGCAAACATTTGTGCTCGGCTCGTTGTGTTAGCCTGATACGATTATCCATGTTAATATCGTTCAATTTGAAAATGCAAATTTCGTGACTAGCCAAAGACAAAGCCAGGCCAAAAATTCATGTGAATTTGACCTGAGCTCAGCTTGAACTTGAATTAATTCGCATTAAATTTACAAATGAGCTCCCAATTTAAATTAGTTGTCTAATTTTTCCATATACGACTGTTGTCCGCCACCGCAGACTTATACATTGTCCGTCCCTTACCCCGCAGTAGCCCTTTGTGCCATACTTTCACTTGAACTTGATTTTATGATCGAGTTTTATGGCCGCATTTTGGGCTAATTTACACGTGATTTGTGTATGCTTTGTTGTTTGTAATAAGCGAACGAGCCTCGCTCCAGATATCGGCCGATAAGCCTCTTATAGAAATTAATGGCTTCATCTCTGAGCCCCCTCTTCAGATTTGTGGCAGACACAAAAATATGTTTACGGTGATTTTGTGATATTTATTGTGTTGAAAACTTTAAACAAACTCAAGTCTTTTGGCTTTACTATTTTAATGTCTTAATTCGATATGGGATTCTTAGAAGTGGGCGCGTCTTCTGCGCCTCTGAGGGGGCAAATAGCTATTAGAGATGGCTGGCAGATAGGTTTTCGCTGGCTTCTCAGTGGGAAACACCATTCGACCATTTGAGCGGTGTCGTTCGTTGACTCGGAAATCGATACGTCTTGATTTCGCAGTGCGTGCATCCAAGTCGTAAGGACTGGGTGCCAGTTGCTGTTCTGGTAGGGGCAGTGGCGGCAAATCAAGACTGCCTTGATCTGCACCACCAAAGTAGGGCTGTGGAGCAGCGCCATAGTTGGGCGTGTATGGCGGCAGGTAACTTGATCCTGGTGCTGGAGGCGCAGCGTAGAGCTCCTGAGGATAGGCGCCTTGCTGCGCTAGTGGTTGGTTTTCCGGATAGTAGGCCGGCAAGGGAATCTCCGTGGACTGCGAGTACCCCGAAGATGGCTGCTGTGAGGATGGTAAGGACGGACTCGTTGCTCCTCCGTACTGCGCCTGAATGACCTGTTGCGCTTGCAAAGCCTCCTCTTCCGTCCTATATTTGACAAAATGTACTTGAGGCTTGTGTTTGTGCTGCGCCTGTGCGGCGCTCAATTTGCTTGCCAATTCATGAGGATCCGTCTGCTTGTTCAGCACATAGATGTCAGTTTTATCTTCGCTGGTTTGCTTGGCCAGAGCGTTGAGGGCGCCTACGACGGCCTTGTTCTCGGGCGCCTTTATGAACACAACCTGTAGATTTTTCTTGGAGTGAGCCAAAATCTTTTGCTCCACCAGCTCAGCCTCATCGACGACATCTTGGGGTGCTTCGAAGGCATAAAAATGCTTGTGGAAGTCTGCATGGTCTTGATAATGGCTTGACGCTTGGTATTTATCAACCAGTGCACCAGAATCGTATCCAAATCCTGTTGAGTTTGGCTCATAATTGTAGCCCAGCTTGGCTGAACATATTGCTATGAAAGATAAAAACTGGAAAAAACTATATATCAAAAAATATTCAAAGATTTTCCTTTTGGCACTGCCTTACCACAACTTTCCGCATGCTGTAATCTCATCAAAGACTAACGATCATTTGTTAAGCAGATCGCAACCCAAAGAGCTTTTTATAATCTTTTTTGCTGACTGTAATCCCAAATAGGGAATAATGATGCCAGCCGCTTGCCAAACATAGTAAATAGGTTACCCAGACAAAATCTGCTTTGAGACATAGTTGACCTAGTATTAAAATTTCAGCATTTCGTTATTAATATTATTTATTAAAATATTTGCAATCCTAACTTAAAAGAAATGGTAAGGAATGGTCTAACATATGCGTGGGAATCAGTTATGGTCAGTCTGGGGGCTGGGATGGTTTTGCTCAAGTCCACTCCTAAGCCCGGCTACGCAGCAGCGATGCGGGGAGGTACGTGTTAGCGGGCTCTTGCACAGCTGGTATGTCTGGAACGGGTGTCTTGGAAGCAAAGTTTAGGACAGGTGCGACGCCTACATTCTGGTGAGTGGAAACACCGCCCAGCTGATCGTATTGGCCCTGAATAGCGCGTTGGGCATTAATAGCATCTTCGGGAGTGCGGTATTTGACGAAGTGCACCTGCGGCTTCTGGTAGTTGTTGGTGCGAAGGTTGTTCAACTTGTTGCCGAGATCGTTTATGTCGGCCTGCTTGCTCAGAACGTAGATGGCCGTTTGCTGCTCAGCAGCCTGTCTGGACAGGGATAGGGCAGCATCCTCGATTCCATTGTATTCAGGTCCCTTGATGAACAAGACGCGGAGATTCTTGCGAAGACTTCTCGAAAGCTGGTCGTGGTTGATCGGTTCCTGGAAATCACGCTCGTCTGCGGCATACGTGAAAAATTCCTTAAGCAGCTCCGGCGGCGATTGGTATGACTGCTCGGCAGGAGTCGGTCCACCAGAGATTAACGGCTCTCGGCTGATTGGTCCTGTTTCCGCAGGTGGTATATAGTTTGCTTGGTTTTGGCCAATATTGCTGGACGTGTAAGGCAAACCGGAGATGGCTGGTTCAGCGGGCTGGTAGTTGTATCCAGACCGCTCAGCGTTAGCTAAGGCCAGAAGACAAAGGGTCTGCAAAAGTAGGATTCGATTCATTATATTGCTTTGCTGTATTGCTGATCCGAGGAAAACTCACAATAAGGACACGCATTTCGTTGGCTTTGGGATAATACTTGTGAGCTTTTAGCTGATTCGAGCTAAAGTATGCATATAACTTTATCACCCACGCTTTTTATATGTTTTATCGAAGCGTTTGCAAATGCTGTTGTTTTTCGCACCACAATCAATTTTCGATATCGTTTATATTGGTCATCTTTGATTTGTGCGCCACATTAAGCGCTATTTGTCAATATCAATTCGCTGCTCACTTTTTTATTTCTTTTCGCTGGTTTTGCTTTTATATCACAGCATATATTATTTTATCGCTACTCCCCAATTCGCATCTTTAGTCATTTCTTTTTGTATTGCCTGCATCACATTTGCCAATTTCAGTTGACCTACTTTTTTTCTCAAGGTCAGTGTAGCCTTCGGGATACTAGATAAGAGAGTATATTTGTATTATAACCCGTATTATATTTTTTCGCCAAAGCAGAATTGCAAATCCATAATTCCTATGTCTTACAACACATTGGAATTCGCTATCAAATTCGTGAACAATAACATTGTTTACATATATATTTAAAAATAAGAGTAACAAAGAGTATTAATAGTAGTCATAGTAGCCTATTGATAATAAAATCATTAATATTGCATAAGGGATTGAATAGCCAGAGATTGAGGCAGACTATGCAGAAGTTCTACTCCTTGGGAGAAATATAGAACTGAAGAAACTGCTGTCTACGCCATTTCATAATTATAAATATTAATTTACATAAGCTATGTATTTAGCATATCAACATTTAGCTTTATGTGCTCTAGAGGAGCGTAATGAGGTAATCCGATTTAGCTATGCATGTTTGCTTGCCTATGTATGTATATTTGTCTGTTCGCCTGACTCTCTCCCTGTCTCCCTGTCTATCTGCATGTCTCTACGTCTGTCTGCCGAAGAAGTTGTCTATATGTTTGCAGCAGTATACATTTGGTATTTATATTTAATTAAAAATATGCTAGAATGCTTGAAGCAGAAGAGAGTGTTCCCATTCCACTGAAACGATGTCTACCTGGTGCCGAGTTCAACATTTGAGCGCGACTTCGGCTTTGAGTGAAAGTCGCCCTATATAAAGAGCAGCAGCTGCAGCATTTCTTTAGTCGCCCAGACCTGGTGGGGGTCAGTTGTAAAGCGCATCAAACTGAAGGCGAGTGAGTGGGGAATTAATTAGAGGAGATACCTAGAAGAAATACTTAAAAGAAGTAACTAAAAAAAATACTTCGAAGAGACAGCAAGAGGAAATACATAGAAGACATTCTTAATGGAATTAGAAGAAGTAAGTACTAAAGGTACTCAGAGGAAATACGTTGAGGAAATACTTGAGGAAAATATTTAGGGGAAACACGGAAAACACTTTGAAGATATATAAGAAATACGTAGAGGAAATACTTGGAAGAAAAGCGGTATATTTCAGCTGGAGCATCCAGAGAGCGGGCATTGAAGAGTATTTTCTTATAATGTACAATAATTCCCAATTCAAGGTATTTCACTTTATATCAAAACCTTTAACATTTAGTAAAATGATTATATTTAAAATTTATAAATTTAAGTCAATCATTTTATTTGCTTAGTAATAAAAATAGCTTTAGAAATAAACCTAGCTAAAAATAGCTTTAGAAACAAACTTGCGGAGTTATATTATGGGCATAAATAACAGAAGAGACGCCAGAATTTGCTATAATCTGCATTCACGTGCTTAGTTGTTGTTTTTTTTTTTTTTTTTTTACGGATTTTTTTTTGGGTTACGGT